ATATCATATAAACATCACGGACACAACATTCTCCCATTTATATTCACTCCGGCAGCCGGGCTGCAGCACTGCACATCGGAAACATCACAACCTGAAGCTTGACCTCAATGATCAGTTGCGAAGAAGCCTGCAAGCGAGACGGGGGCCGGAAAGGAGGGATTGCCGAGGGGAGAATGAGAAAATAAAATAAAAAAGGGTCACAAAACAGGAAATGAGGTGGAGGAAGGTAGCCGGGACATGGAAGTAGGCGAGTAATGGATATGAAGGAGAAAGGGGAAGATTCAGGAAAGATGGAAGAATGATGGTTCAGAAGGACGGATGCAAAAGGAGGACAAGGGGACCAACGATGACGAGAGAAGATCAGGAGAGGGGTGTAGAGGTTTTGATGGAGCATAGTGTGTGGGGAGGGAAGGGTTGTTGATAGACAGACCACCATGATAACACATTGAATGAGAGAAGAACAACAGTTCAGAAGGACGGAGGAAAAGGAGGACAAGAGAAGATCAGGAAATTGGTGTCCATGTAGAGGTTTTGATGGAGCACAGTGTGTGGGGAGGGAAGGGTTGTCGATAGACAGACCACCATGATAACACATTGAGTGTAGGATGGAATGAGAGAAGATCAGCAGTTCAGAATGACAGAGGAAAAAGGGAGGACAAGGGGATCAACAATGACAAGAGAAGATCAGAAATTGGTGTCCATGTAGAGGTTTTGATGGAGCAGTGTGTGGGGAGGGAAGGGTTGTCGAGGGAACAGGCCACCAAGTTAACATATTGAGTGTAATATAGAATGAGAGAAGAATGATAGTTCCGAATGACAGAGGCAAAAGGAGGACAAGGGGACCAACGATGAGAAGAGAAGATCCGGAAAAGGGTGTCCATGTAGAGGTTTTGATGGGACACAGTGTGTGGGGAGGGAACGGTTGTTGAGGGGACAGACCACCACGTTAACATATTGAGTGTAAGATTAAATGAGAGAAGAACAACAGTTTAGAAAGACAGAGGCAAAGGAGGGCAAGAGAAGATCACCAAAGGGGTGTCCATGTAAAGGTTTTGATGGAACATAGTATGTGGGGAGGGAAGGGTTGTTGTTGGACAGACCACAATATATTAACACATTGAGTGTAGGATGGAATGAGAGAAGATCAGCAGTTCAGAAGGACAGAGGAAAAGGAGGACAAGGGGACCAACAATGACGAGATAAGATCAGAAATTGGTGTCCAAGTAGAGGTTTCGATGGAGCATAGTATGGGGGGGAGGGAAGGGTTGTTGAGGGGACAGACCACCAAATAAACATATTGAGTGTAAAGGAAGAGGAGAGTAGAAATGTAAGCAGGAGAAGGTTTGGCAAAGAGACGGATAAGAATAGAAAAGACGTAGGAGGGAAACAGATGGTGGTAGAGGGGTAGAGATATATACAAACCAAGTAAGGCAGAGAGACAGTCCGCCAATGGGGAGGAAGATGGGCAGGAAGTAGATGTTTTAGGTAGAGGGGTAGCGGCAGGGGGCGTTGAGAGGAATGGAAAAAGGTAGAAGGAATGCAAGTGGGCAGATAAATGAACAGGAGAGAGAGAGAGAGAGAGAGAGAGAGAGAGAGAGAGAAGGGTAGAAAAGAAAAAGGTGCAACATTTTGGGTGGAGAAGGGTGGACATAGATGAAGGTTGGCAAATGAGTTATTTGGGGAGGAGGCAGACAGGGACACAATAGGAAGACAAGAGGACAGGTGCAGGAGGGTATATCAGTGAATAGTTTGGGTGGAGATGTATAAAGACAGTAAGGTGGAAGGACAACGAGGTGGTTTGAGTGCAGACGAGGTTGTAAAGAGATGAAGATGGGAAGTTTGGACAGGAAGGGTATAACGAGATGAAGGAAATGAGAAGGACGGGTATCGGGTAATAAAGTATATAATATAAAAACGGAAAAATGAGGGAAGAAGGAGAGAAAGAGAAGTAAGAACATAATGTACACAGTCTGCAAAAGAACCACAACAAAGTCTGCACATGATATCAAAAGTCTTCACTTTGTTCTAGATCAGGGTCCAGGGGCGCCCACAGTTTTTGTGTTAAGATCTACTTTGCCAAATGACGAGCTACATGAGATCTACCAACGAAAAAAAACTCCCACGCTCTCTCTCCCCTGGCTATCTCTCCTCGCTCTCTTTCCTAGCTGTCTCTCCTCGCTCTCTGCCCTGGCTGTCTCTCCTCGCTCCCTCTCCCCTGGCTATCTCTCCTCGCTCCCTCTCCCCTGGCTATCTCTCCTCGCTCTCTTTCCTGGCTATCTCTCCTCGCTCTCTGCCCTGGCTCTCTCTCCTCGCTCTCTGCCCTGGCTCTCTCTCCTCGCTCTCTCCCCTGGCTGTCTCTCCTCGCTCTCTCCCCTGGCTGTCTCTCCTCGCTCTCTCCCCTGGCTGTCTCTCCTCGCTCTCTCCCCTGGCTGTCTCTCCTGGCTCTCCTTGCTGTATTTTGCTGTGTACACTAATATTCTTTGATGTAATACATGGCACTACAACCACCAGTATCCACCAGAAAGGTGTCGGGGAGCTCGGCTCAGCAGACTCGGGCTAATAGGTAATCATGTGTGCACAGCGAGGGGCCGCCATTCCCTCTCTTCCCCCCTTCCTGATCTACCCGCATCAGCTCTGAGACCTCCTGCTAGATCACCATCTACCTAATGGGCCCCTCTGCTGTAGAGGATCTCTGGTCGAAAACTACAAATAAATCTGTATTTCAATATCACATTTCCATAAGTTCTCTCCCAATAACCGTAACCTTACTTATGAAAGATGTCCATAGGATGGACTTCCTTAAAGTGATAAAGCCGAATTCTTTTTTTTAATTTCCCCTTTAAAAGGAGGCCGTCCTTCGCTGGAGGCTGGTTGCTTTTTTCCTTTAAAAGTTTTTAATTCCTCGTTTTCTAGTGTGTCCCCGCAGCGCTTCCCCCCGGCCCCTGCACGGGTGACACCATCGTTCTAACGGAGGCACCCGTGCGCGCAGTGGCTGTGTGCGTCCATAGACACAGCCCTGAGGCAGGCCACGCCCCTTCCCTATTTGATTGATGGCAGAAGGAGCCTATGGCTCATCTGCCATCAGTATCCTCCCCCCCCCAGCGACCCGGAAGTTCAGGGAAAGGAGGACCGCTTCGGGACCGGCGGCGGGGACAGGTAAGCGTGGAGGGGACTGGGGTAGAAAAAAGGTGCTGGAATGCATTAAAATGGTGCCCAGCGCCCTGCCTACCTCTTTTCATTAGGCGATAAGGTGGGAAAATGAGACGGGTTCATCTAGATCAGGGGTAGCAAACCATCCGGCCCTCCAGCTGTGGGTGAAACTACAAATCCCATGATGCATCTCTCTTCGGGAGTCGTGCCTGTGAGAATCCTGCAATGCCTCATGGGATTTGTAGTTCCACCGCAGCTGGAGGGCCGGAGGTTTGCTACCCCTGATCTAGATCCTTGGTTCTCAACGGGTGGGTCGTGACCCAAAAGTGGGTGGCGAGCCCGTGTTCAGTTGGTGGCCTTCCACTTTTCTGAGTGAGAGGATCCTCGGACTCCCCCTAGCGCAGCGCCGTCAGTTCTCTCGCCAAGCAGCCGTTCAAAATATGCCGCCCGGTGCCGAGTGTCAGCTTGAGGTGGGATGGGGCCATGGCCGTGAGGGAGCTTCCTCCATACATGCATCGCTTAGAGCTCCCTCACATGGCCTGTAGAGGTGCCTGGACCGGAGTGACGTCACATTCTGGCTCCCGGCACCTCTACAGGACGCGCAAAGGAGCTGTACCAGCATTGCACATATGGATGGAGCTCCATCACAGCACCACATCCCACATTGGACCCCGGGCTGAGGATCCATTCCAGTTCTCATAAGGTAGGGAGACTGGGTGGATCTTAAAAACACAAGTTGCTGTGTGAGATTGTGTTGTGTCTGTAGGTCAGTGCTTCTGAGGGCCCGTTCACACAAGTACAATGTGCTAACGCACTGTACCACGCAATCGCACCTACTGTGCATTCTGGTGCCGGAGGTGTGTTGCGTTGCCATTCATTTGAATGGTACCCCAAACGCACCTCCCACCCACAGTTCGTACGCCCGCATCGAAGCGCACGCGGTACCCTAATGCCGTGCATACCATTGCAGTGCGACTTAGAGAACTATGAGGAGGGGGGGGTGCTTTTCACTCACCTCATAGTTCGGGGCGACCTGACAATGAGACTGTCACGGGTCGGCTCAGTAGATCGGGAGGTGAGCGAACACATACCGGCGCTCGCTCACCTCTCGATCCTGTCACGGCTCTCTGCCGTGACAGGGGCTGGATTCCCCGCTCCGATCTGCCAGCGCTAACTGGCGGAACGGATGGGGGAGGGGGCGGGTACAGCTGGCTCTGCCTTTAGATAGGCAGAGCCAGCTGTCACTCACGCAGCTGGGCGGATCCAGACATAATTGTCGGGACCCGCTTCAGCTGCGGCGTCTCAGTATACCGCGAGCTGCAGCTCCCTATATACTGAGCCTAGGGTGACGGGAGGACGCTAGTTTGTGTCCTCCCGTTACCATAAGGAGAACTATGGGGGAAAGCCCTGACCTCGTAGTTCTCCTTTAATGACCAAGGACAAATGTGGGTTACACAGGTTGAGGACCACTGGTGTAGAGAGATAGTCAGATACATTGTAACAATAAATGATCTAACTACTAGTTACTATTTAACCCTTCACTGTCCCTTCGCTAACCCTAATTGGCTCTAATGAACTCCTTCCCTCGGCTTCTGATTTTTAGCCCATTTTCTTTTCCCCCCTTTCTACGCATTTTGTTTTATTAATTTCATTTGTTTTTCTAGCATTGCATTCATGAAGAACTCAAGGAATTAAAAAAACATCTTACCCCCGCAGTGGGGCTGCCCCTGTACTGCAAGGGTTAAGTGCTCATTTTGTTCTAGGGCAGGCAACCTCGGCTCTCCAGCTGTACTGAAACTACAAATCCCATAAGGCCTTGCAAGCCACAGGCATGACTCCCAGAGGCAGAAGCATGATGGAATTTGTAGTTACCCCCCTCAGTTCACTGCCCGACCGGTGGCATCTCCCTGACGTCATCACGTGCAATGTGGGGTCAGCAGTTCTGCATTGTATGGGAGGAAGCCAAGGGTCCGTCCCCATCCTCAAAGGAGAACTATGGGGTCAGGGCTTTTCCCCATAGTTCTCAGGGAAACGGGAGGACACAAACTAGCGTCCTCCCGTCACCCTCAGCTCAGTATATAGGGAGCTACAGCTCGCGGTATACTGAGACGCCGCAGCTGAAGCGGATCCCAACAATTGTGCCGGGATCCGCCCAGCTGCGTGAGTGACAGCTGGCTCTGCCTATCTAGAGGCAGAGCCAGCTGTACCCGCCCCCTCCCCCGTCCGTTCCGCCCGTCAGCGCTGGAGGATCGGAGCGGGGAGGGGGGAATCCAGCCCCTCCCCCTGTCACGGTAGAGAGCCGTGACAGGATCGAGAGGTGAGCGAACGCCGGTATGTGTTCGCTCACCTCCCGATCTACTGAGCCGACCTGTGACAGTCTCATTGTCACAGGTCGGCTAGAACTATGAGGTGAGTGGAAATAACCCCCCTCATAGTTCTCCTTCAAGCGTCTCTCCATATAGGAAAGTGCTGGCCACCGGTGGGAAGTAAGGATTAGGGTAAGTGTACTTATTTCATACCCCCTAGACAAATGAGCATTTAACCCATGCAGTGCTGGGGCGGGCACTAGGTGGGTAATTCTAACTTTTATAAATGACCCTCTCTATGTTCTACAAGGATTGTTATGAGCATTTGGTCAGATGTTCATCTAGATCAGCTATTCTCAACCAAGGTTCCTCCTGAGGGTTTCCTTGAGTAGTGAGCAATGGAGAATTGGTTTCCCACCAATAATAACCACCAACGCAAGAGGGCGATTTTCTGCTGACCACCAACGTTGGGGGAGTTACATCTACCCTGACCACTAATGTTAGGCCACACCACAGTTTTCACTGTCTTCAGTCCTTTCTTTTTCATTCAACTGAATTCCTTAAAATAATTATATCCTATACAGCAGATGGCTGTTCAAGAACGCCGTGGCCTGGGTGTCAAATACTCCAGGTATGCTACTTTCTTTATTATTTTATTGAACACTTTGTATAATTTACTCCTCATGCTAATGTATGGTGACCTGTAGGTGTCATCATTTTTATCATGGGTTCCTCGAGGCCTTCAAATAATTTCAAGGGTTCCTCGGGGCCTTTAAATAATTTAATAGGTTTCTCGAGGCCTTCCAATAATTTTAAAGGTTCCTCGAGGCCTTCCAATAATTTCAAGGGTTCCTCGAGGCCTTCCAATAATTTCAAGGGTTCCTCGAGGCCTTCCAATAATTTCAAGGGTTCCTCGAGGCCTTCCAATAATTTCAAGGGTTCCTCGAGGCCTTCCAATAATTTCAAGGGTTCCTCGAGGCCTTCCAATAATTTCAAGGGTTCCTCGAGGCCTTCCAATAATTTCAAGGGTTCCTCGAGGCCTTCCAATAATTTCAAGGGTTCCTCGAGGCCTTCCAATAATTTCAAAGGTTCCTCGAGGCCTTCCAATAATTTCAAAGGTTCCTCGAGGCCTTCCAATAATTTCAAAGGTTCCTCGAGGCCTTCCAATAATTTCAAAGGTTCCTCGAGGCCTTCCAATAATTTCAAGGGTTCCTCGAGGCCTTCCAATAATTTCAAGGGTTCCTCGAGGCCTTCCAATAATTTCAAGGGTTCCTCGAGGCCTTCCAATAATTTCAAGGGTTCCTCGAGGCCTTCCAATAATTTCAAGGGTTCCTCGAGGCCTTCCAATAATTTCAAGGGTTCCTCGAGGCCTTCCAATAATTTCAAGGGTTCCTCGAGGCCTTCCAATAATTTCAAGGGTTCCTCGAGGCCTTCCAATAATTTCAAGGGTTCCTCGAGGCCTTCCAATAATTTCAAGGGTTCCTCGAGGCCTTCCAATAATTTCAAGGGTTCCTCGAGGCCTTCCAATAATTTCAAGGGTTCCTCGAGGCCTTCCAATAATTTCAAGGGTTCCTCGAGGCCTTCCAATAATTTCAAGGGTTCCTCGAGGCCTTCCAATAATTTCAAGGGTTCCTCGAGGCCTTCCAATAATTTCAAGGGTTCCTCGAGGCCTTCCAATAATTTCAAGGGTTCCTCGAGGCCTTCCAATAATTTCAAAGGTTCCTCGAGGCCTTCCAATAATTTCAAAGGTTCCTCGAGGCCTTCCAATAATTTCAAAGGTTCCTCGAGGCCTTCCAATAATTTCAAAGGTTCCTCGAGGCCTTCCAATAATTTCAAAGGTTCCTCGAGGCCTTCCAATAATTTCAAGGGTTCCTCGAGGCCTTCCAATAATTTCAAAGGTTCCTCGAGGCCTTCCAATAATTTCAAAGGTTCCTCGAGGCCTTCCAATAATTTCAAAGGTTCCTCGAGGCCTTCCAATAATTTCAAAGGTTCCTCGAGGCCTTCCAATAATTTCAAAGGTTCCTCGAGGCCTTCCAATAATTTCAAGGGTTCCTCAGGGCCTTCCAATAATTTTAAAAGGTTCCTCGAGGCCTTCCAATAATTTCAAAGGTTCCTCGAGGCCTTCCAATAATTTCAAGGGTTCCCCAAGACCTTCAAATAATTTCAAAGGTTCCTCGAGGGTTTCAAGGGTTCCTCAGAGGTGCAAAGGTTGAGAAAGGCTGATCTAGACCAATGCTAGTTCTGCTCTTGTCAAGACAGCTTCTGACTGGCTTTAGGTTTGGCCCTAACACATTTTTTTTCCTCCGTGGACAATGTGTGATAATAATGTGGTCTTCAAACTGCAGATCATTCTGGGAGCTGCAGGTAAACAAGAACGTCTGGTCATGCTGGCTTGTTATTTTCAAGCAATGTAATGATGAAGACAAGGTGTAGACCACTGTAGGTCTACACAGCCTACCCCCACAGGCACTCACCAGCTCACATCTGGTTGGAAAACGAGGTTGGGACACCTTGCTGGCTATACCCGCCTTGGCTGTATCCCTGTTGGTTATATTCAGGCTGCTGGCCATAGTAGTCAGGCTGGTAACCTCCTTGTTGTTGTGGTGGTTGTTGTCCGTATGAGTCCTGCTGACCATAGCCTTGGCCCGGCGCATAGGTATCAGGCGCTGGTTGCTTCTCCTGGGCTGGTGGTGGTGGGTGCTTTATGAATGGAGCTGTCCATCCCGTCTCTTTAAACACAAACCAGATGTTTCCCAGCCAGATGATGCAGTTCAGGAAGCCGAAGGCCTGTGTGGAGGAATTCAGATTCAGTATGATCACATGATGCACAGGGAAGGTGAAGCGGACGCAACATCTCAAATCTATACGTGCCACCACAAGACCCGGAGCCACCAGTAACAAATAATAAGACCAACTCATACCACCTCACACCACCCCATACCCTCTCATACCCCCTCATACCACCCCATACTATCTCCAACCACCCCATACCCCCTCATACATCTCCTACCACCTCACACCACCCCATGCCCTCTCCTGCCACCTCACACCACCCCATACCCCCTCATACCACCCCATACCCTCTCATACCACCGCATACCATCTCCTACCACCCCATACCCCCTCATACATCTACCACCTCACACCACCCCATACCCTCTCATATCATCTCATAACCTCTCCTACCACCCCATACCCTCTCCTACCACCCCATACCACCTCACAGCACCCCATACCTTCTCATACCACCTCATATCATCTCATACCCCCTCATACCCTCTCCTACCACCTCATATCTCATACACTCTCATACCACCTCACACTATCTCATCCCTCCTCAAACCCTCTCATACCATCTCCTACCACCTCACACCACCCCATACCCTCTCCTACCACCCCATACCCTCTCATACCCCCTCATATATTTTCCGGCCACTCAGAAAACAGGCACTGAGTAATGACCCGCCTCCCTTATTGGCCGGGAAGCTGGCTCCATGCTGTTCAGGCGGCTCGTTACTGATTGGCCGGAAAGCCGGCTTACCAGCCAATCGGCATGGAGCCGGCTTCCCAGCCAATCAGGAAGCTGTGAGGAGGTTCATTAGTCTTTGTGATGACAACTCACCACGGAGGTGTTGAGCCCGGACACGACAGGATCCCGCTCCTCCTGACACTTGTTGTCAGGGTTCTCGCAGGCCGGGATCTGCTCGATGATCAGCTCGGGGTCCGTGGCCATCTTAATGTCAGACAACCCCTTGGCCCAGGCGCTGGAGCAGACCAGCCACATGAAGGCGAAGACGGCGGTCACTATGCAGTCCTGCGCGGGGGAGAAACGCACAGCAATGAGGAGCGAGAGAAACGCACACGAATGGGGGGAGGGAGAGAAACGCACAGCAATGAGGAGAGAGAAACGCACAGCAATGGGGGGAGGGAGAGAAACGTACAAGAATGGGGGGAGGGAGAGAAACGTACAAGAAT